ATAATGGATACAACACTGTATATCCAAAGCTTCATTTTACGTGTGATCTCCAACCAATAGAAACACTTTCGCACCATCGTATCATCTTACAAACGGATGCATGGGACACGGGCTTAACTCAGTGAATTTTTAGGAGTTGGCGCAGTGCTACGCCAATGGGTTGGTGCGTCAGCCCAACGCACCGGCGCGGTAACTCAGTTCCGTTGCTGGGAAGATGTTGATGACTTTTCTCACTTGTTTTTAGATTTGTTTCAAGTGCCTTTTATTAATAATATTTTTAAAATGTCCTTAAAGTTTCAGAATTTTCCAGCTTTAGTCAGGTCATGTTCAATTTTCTAAAGTTTCTCTTAAAAATGCTGACAACCGCAAACATGCGCAATCAGATAATGATAACAAATACGAGAAAAAATGCAGGAACCTGCAGCAGCAGCTAACGAAAATATCGACGCAATCAATGAAGAACAGTGGGGGAAAAGGACGTTCGTCCGGCTTAACTTTGTAACTGTAAACTTTGTTACCGAAGAAGCCGAGGTAAACCTTCAAGCTTGCACTTGAAGAAAACCTGCTTGGGACTAAAGGACCGAAAAACTCCCGCAGTTTCACCATACTTTCCCTGCTTTCGGACGCCCACGCCTTACCTGGTTTTTGCCCTCGGCTTCCAGAATCTCCTTCTTCAATTGAGGACTCATTTTCCTCTCATCCACCGTTGAGGCGTTGTAGTAGTCGGGGATCCAGTTGTAAATCTGAAACGTCATGAAACTGAAATGCTTCAATTCAAGAAGTTTTAGATTTGCGTGGTTTTTTTTTGAGTTGCAAAATCCACTTGAACATGAGGCTGCTTTTTTCGAAGTTTCTCAAGAACCTTTTGAGCTACAGAATTTGTTTTGGCATCGTTGGATAGAGAATTGAAAGGTCGATTCAGTCGTAACAACGTGAGTGAGGAAATTTGAGTAGTTTTGACCCAGAAAGCGAAATTTGAATATCAACCGAGTACTCACCCGGTTGAGTTTGAGGAAAATGCATGGCCCTCCATCCTTGGAGTCGTAGTTGTAGCCCTGGTCCTTGACGCACGGGTGCCACTGCTGATCCAGCCGCACGTTGCACACCTTTCCAGGGGCGGGCGTCTGGAACTGCCTGCACTCCTCCAGCTTATCCGCATGGGCATTGTTGCTCCTGTTGTACTCTAAAACCCAGTTTCTCGCTCAGCAACCCGCCCGGCCTCTGCACCAACAAGCACTTACGAATCAGGAACTTGTTCAGTTCCCTTTGCCAGTGTTGCACGTTCCCCTTATCGGAGCTCTTGTACCAGATGAGTGTGCTGTCGATGTTGCTCTCTGGGGGCATCGGCCTGAACCCCAGGCCTGCAAAGGTTGGCGAAAATTAAATGGCTAAATGCCTGGAAGGGCAGGCAAGGGGTTACCAGGGCTTTTTCCGATTATCGATTTTTCCAGTTGCCACTTCGGTATCTTGTAGTCGATGGTCTGGTAAAATACCACCAGCATGGCGCTGAAGAAGCCGGCCAGCACCGCGTAGAACAGCAGATAGAAGATGAGGATTTTGGCTGGAACAATATGAAAGGTTGCAGGCGTGCAACTCGAGGCAACCCTAAAATTAGGCAACAGTGCTCTTCTAGACCTGCTAGATATTAAGCATTGATCTGGCCCGCTCCTAAACGTCCCAGATTGGTATTGATCCAGTTTTCAGATCAAACTCAAGCAGCTGTTCTCCAGAGGCGACGTCATGATTCGAAATTGGCGCCAGTCGGAGCGGCGCCGCGACGCGCCAATTTGGTGGCGTGTTATTGATCGTCCTCCCTTTGCTTTATCCCCCCCCC